GCCATCCTCCAAAAGTATTTGCCTCACTGTGCGTGCAGATGCACTCACACCTGCCTGCTGCCATTCCTGAGCAAGCTCTGCACTGGTGGTGCCCCGATCCCGCAGCTGAATCAACTTCAGGAGACGGTCCTGGCACTTGCTGGACTTTCTTGGGAGCCCTGACGCCTTCTTCACAATAATTGAACCTCTCTCCTTGAAGTTCTTGATGATTCGCTAAATGGTTGATTTAGGTGCAATCTTACTAGCAGCAATATCCTTGCCTGTGAAGCCCATTTTGTGCAAAGCAATGATGACGGCACGTGTTTCCTTGCAGGTAACCATGGTTAACAGAGGAAGAACAATGATTTCAAGCACCACCCTCCTTTTAAAATTTCCAGTCTGTTATTCTAACTCAATCAGCATGACAGAGTGATCTCCAGCCTTGTCCTCGTCAACACTCTCACCTGTGTTAACGAGAGAATCACTGACGTGATGTCAGCTGGTCCTTTTGTGGCAGGGCTGAAATGCAGTATAAATGTTTTTGGGGGATTAAGTTCATTTTCATGGCAAAGAGGGACTTTGCAATTCATCTGATCACTCTTCATGACATTATGTGCAAATTGCCATCATCAAAACTGAGGCAGCAGACTTTGAAAATTAGTATGTGTGTCATTCTCAAAACATGAAAAAAATTCCACACGAATCTAAAAGTCTTTTTTTTATATCTTAATCATATACATCCAGCTAGCACTGTCATTCATGCATCACCAAAACAAAGTTAACATGTTCATCATCATGAGATTTGATAGCACAGATGGAGATTTACATCACGCAAAAATACAAACTGAAATCATTCTGATGTACCTGATTACTGTAAACCGATATAATTACATGGTGGACTTGGTTCCCTCTTGATAAGAACATTATCTCCTGACTCACTAAGCTGCATCGCATCAAAGCTCCTGTTATATATGATATCAGTCTGGCACAAGTACATTACTTCAGGTTAGTGTCTCTATTGAATAGAAGACAGTATTTAGACCCATTCCCTTTTTCCACATTTTGTTACGTTACAGCCTTATTCTAAAATGGATTAAATTAATATTTTTCCTCATCAATCTACACACAATACCCCATTATGACAAAGTGAAAACAGGTTTTTTAAATAATTGTTTGCAAATGTATAAAACATAAACAGAAATACATTATTTACATAAGTATTCAGACCCTTTGTTATGAGACTCAAATTGAGCTCAGGTGCATCCTGTTTCCATTGATCATCCGTGAGATGTTTCGATAAACTTGCAGTCCACCTGTGGTAAATTCAATTGATTGGAAAGGCATACACCTGTCTATATTAGGTCCCACAGTTGACAGTGCATGTCAGAGCAAAAACCAAGCCATGAGGTCGAAATAATTTTTCGTAGAGCTCTGAGACAGGATTGTGTCGAGGCACAGATCTGGGGAAGTGTACCAAAAAATGTCTGCAGCATTGAAGGTCCGCAAGAACACAGTCGCCTCCATCATTCTTAAATGGAAGAAGTTTGGAACCACCAAGACTCTTCCTAGAGCTGGCCGCACTGCCAAACTGAGCAATCCGGGGAGAAGGGCCTTGGTCAGGGAGGTGACCAAGAACCCGATGGTCACTCTGACAGAGCTCAAGACTTCCTCTGTAGAGATGGGAGAACCTTCCAGAAGGACAACCATCTCTGCAGCACTCCACCAATCAGGCCTTTATGGTAGAGTGGCCAGACGGAAGCCACTCCTCAGTAAAAGGCACATGACAGCCCGCTTGGAGTTTGCCAAAAGGCACCTAAAGACTCAGACCATGAGAAACAAGATTCTCTGGTCTGATGAAACCAAGATTGAACTCTTTGGCCTGAATGCCAAGTGTCACGTCTGGAGGAAACCTGGCACCATCCACACGGTGAAGCATGGTGGTGGCAGCATCATGCTGTGGGGATGTTTTTCAGCAGCAGGGACTGGGAGACTAGTCAGGATCGAGGCAAAGATGAACGGAGCAAAGTACAGAGAGATCCTTGATGAAAACCTGCTCCAAAGCGCTCAGGACCTCAGACTGGGGCGAAGGTTCACCTTCCAACAGGACAACGACCCTAAGCACACATCCAAGACAACGCAGGAGTGGCTTCAGGACAAGTCTCTGAATATTCTTGAACCCGATCGAACATCTCTGGAGAGACCTGAAAATAGCTGTGCAGCGACGCTCCCCATCCAACCTGACAGAGCTTGAGAGGATCTGCAGAGACGAATACGAGAAACTCCCCAAATACAGGTGTGCCAAGCTTGTAGCGTCATACCCAAGAAGACTCAAGGCTGTAATCTCTGTCAAAGGTGCTTCAACAAAGTACTGAGTAAAGGGTCTGAATACTTATGTAAATGCGATATTTCAGTTAATTTTTTTATAAATGTGCTAAAATGTCTAAAAACCAGTTTTTGCTTTGTCATAATGGGGTATTGATGAGGGGGAAAAACTATTTCAGAATAAGGCTGTATGGTAACAAAACGTGGAAGTCAAGGGGTCTGAATACTTTCCAAATGCACTGAATTACACCCCCCGATTCATACTGCTACACTGGAGATATACAATGAATTTCACATCCCATTCTGCATATTCAAACAGAATCAAGCAAAACAAAAGTTACCTGAAAATGTTATTTGTGTGGTTTTGTTACACAATCAACAACTTAGTGAATACAGTACAAATTAAACTAGAGTTGTATCTAGTGTACGTCCACCCAGTAGGTGGTACGGTCCCTAACCTCTCGGACGCTGGTCTAGAGATGGATGGAGGAGAAAGGCTGAAGGTTTCTCCATGCAGAGTGGCCAAATCCCTGTGGGTCCTGGTGCATAGTGCATAACATGGGGAACAGGGTGGCGTTTCAGTCCTCTCCCAGAGCACCTTGTCCTGAATGGAGACACTACCAAGACAAACAGTGCACTGCTGAGGGGGGCCTTTCGTTCTGTTACAGCCAACCAGAGGAGAATGTAACCTGGTCCTAGATCTGTTTGTGCAATCATGCCAAACACATCTGGGACCAGGCTAAGGAGTACGTACTCCAGGACAGTAGTGTTGTCTGCATAGCCAGAGCCCAGGGAAGCCAGACACATCTGGAACCAGGCTAAGGAGGACGTACTCCGGGACAGTAGTGTTGTCTGCATAGCCAGAGCCCAGGGAAGCCAGACACATCTGGAACCAGGCTAAGGAGGACGTACTCCGGGACAGTAGTGTTGTCTGCATAGCCAGAGCCCAGGGAAGCCAGACACATCTGGAACCAGGCTAAGGAGTACGTACACCAGGACAGTAGTGTTGTCTGCATAGCCAGAGCCCAGGGAAGCCAGACACATCTGGGACCAGGCTAAGGAGTCCGTACTCCAGGACAGTAGTGTTGTCTGCATAGCCAGAGCCCAGGGAAGCCAGACACATCTGGGACCAGGCTAAGGAGGACGTACTCCGGGATGAAGACAGTTGTTATTGCTGAGTTTGGTAGCTCTATCCAAACTGAAACCCCTCTACCCGGATCTCTAGACCAACGACGTATATAAACATGTCTATGATCTCGACTAGCACAGAAATTAAAACTGACCCCAAGCAGCTGTCCTTCTCCGTAAGGCAAATTGAAGTTACGCGGCTTTACGCTTTTTAAAATTTATTAAGAAACATTTAAATGCCAAAGAAACAAACGTTGCATTGAACGGCTTAAGGACAAACACACCATTTCATTCAGCTTTCAAATCTAAACTCAAGCTCCTTCACAGGTTGTTGGTTAAAATTATGAGAATGAAAAGATGAAGGGAAGCTGAGAGGATGAGGATGAAGGGAAGGTGAGAGGATGAAACTGAAGGTTCACACCGTGACACTAAGTACTACTATTCTCTACTAAGGTTGTAGAATTCCAGGGACTTTAAATAAATTCCCAGGTTTTCCAGAAATCCTGTTTGGAGGTTTCCTGGAATCTGGAGGGGATAAGAAGAAAATCCAGAATCCTCCAACCAGGATTTCTGGAACACCAGGGAATGTATGGAAAGTTCCTGGAAGTGTGCAACCTTCCTCTCTACCCACCCAGGCATCTCCACTGGATATCTGACAGACAGCTGGTGGGAAACAAGACAACCCAAACACAGAAACACACACTATGGATGTAGAACAGTGGTTAGAGGTTCCACTGCAGCGGCTGTCAGTCAGTCAACCCTCCCCTGGTGGGTATCAGAGGGTCAGTCAGTCAACCCTCCCCCTGGTGGGTATCAGAGGGTCAGTCAGTCAACCCTCCCCCTGGTGGGTATCAGAGGGTCAGTCAGTCAACCCTCCCCCTGGTGGGTATCAGAGGGTCAGTCAGTCAACCCTCCCCCTGGTGGGTATCAGAGGGTCAGTCAGTCAACCCTCCCCCTGGTGGGTATCAGAGGGTCAGTCAGTCAACCCTCCCCCTGGTGGGTATCAGAGGGTCAGTCAGTCAACCCTCCCCCTGGTGGGTATCAGAGGGTCAGTCAGTCAACCCTCCCCCTGGTGGGTATCAGAGGGTCAGTCAGTCAACCCTCCCCCTGGTGGGTATCAGAGGGTCAGTCAGTCAACCCTCCCCCTGGTGGGTATCAGAGGGTCAGTCAGTCAACCCTCCCCCTGGTGGGTATCAGAGGGTCAGTCAGTCAACCCTCCCCCTGGTGGGTATCAGAGGGTCAGTCAGTCCACCCTCCCCCTGGTGGGTATCAGAGGGTCAGTCAGTCCACCCTCCCCTGGTGGGTATCAGAGGGTCAGTCAGTCAACCCTCCCCCTGGTGGGTATCAGAGGGTCAGTCAGTCCACCCTCCCCCTGGTGGGTATCAGAGGGTCAGTCAGTCAACCCTCCCCCTGGTGGGTATCAGAGGGTCAGTCAGTCAACCCTCCCCCTGGTGGGTATCAGAGGGTCAGTCAGTCAACCCTCCCCCTGGTGGGTATCAGAGGGTCAGTCAGTCAACCCTCCCCCTGGTGGGTATCAGAGGGTCAGTCAGTCAACCCTCCCCCTGGTGGGTATCAGAGGGTCAGTCAGTCATCCCAGTCGACCAGTCAGGGCCTCCAGATAGAGAGACCTGTTATCAAAGCAGGGAGATCCCTGATTATAGTCTCTCCCTTTTGACTTACCTTCAACTACATGGTAACTAACACAAACATTTCAGACATTTTCAAAAGGCACAATTGCTGCAAAGAGTTTGTTTTTCTTTTATGAACTAGATGTAGTACCCACTGAGGAGACACTGGGGAGACACCGGGGAGACACCGGGGAGACTGACAGGACTAGGAGAAATGACCTTTACCAACTTGTCACTGTGACCACTTGTGGTTGCTATCTAGTGCCTGAGGCCACCAACCAATCAAACACTTTTATTGAGATTTGCCAGCTTTCCTCCAGTCCAGTCTAGTCTGGACACAGTCTCTCTGTAGAGAGGCTCCCTTTAGTTAGTTAGTGCTGGGCTGGCTGGGGTCTCTGTCTGTCTGTCTGTCCGCATGGCTCATCACAGCTTGTTGTCTCTGTCCAGCAGCGCCTGCAGTTGGTGCTGGATGTCCTCGGGGAGCTCCAGAGCAGGCAGGTCATCCAGAGAGATGTCCTGGCTGGGCATCTCCAGAGGGGGCAGGGTAGGGATGGGGATCTCCTTGTTCTTCCTCTCCTCTGACTGAGGCAGAACCCACAGCTCTGACTTCTCCAGTAAGTCTGTGTCCGCCGCGTCCCTCTTCAGCCGGATGTTCTCCCCACGCAGGCGCTGGTTGTCCTGGGTCAGCTTCTCGTTCTCTCCCGCCAGACGGTCCAGGAGGCGCCGCAGGTTGGCGATGGTGGTCTGCTGCTCCTCCAGACGGGTCTTATCATCCTTGTGGGTTTTGCTGCCGGGGCAGGGCTTGGGGGGAGGGGGGGCACCCTTGTTCTTCAGGAGGTACAGCCAGGTGTCGTACTCCCTCTCTGGGTGGCGGGGGGGCTCGCTGGTCAAGAGGCCAGGGGGCTGGTCAGTAGAGGGGTGGCTCTGGAGGACACTGGGCTTGCCCTCCTGTCTGGTCCTCCTCCATTTCTCCTCAATCAGCCGCTGCTGCTTCACGTGGCTGTCCCTCTGGAGCGCCATGGACAGACCAGCCTGGAGGAGACAGAGACAGACAGGCCTCAGGCACAACACGACTCAACCCCTCACTACTACAACACGACTCAACCCCTCACTACTACAACACGACTCAACCCCTCACTACTACTACAACACGACTCAACCCCTCACTACTACTACAACACGACTCAACCCCTCACTACTACAACACGACTCAACCCCTCACTACTACAACACGACTCAACCCCTCACTACTACAACACGACTCAACCCCTCACTACTACAACACGACTCAACCCCTCACTACTACGACACGACTCAACCCCTCACTACTACGACATTTAAGTCATTTAGCAGACGCTCTTATCCAGAGCGACTTACAGTTAGTGAGTGCATACATTTTCATACTGGCCCCCCGTGGGAAACGAACCCACAACCCTGGCGTTGCAAGCTCCATGATCTACCAACTGAGCTACAGGGGACTACTACTACTACTACAACAACAACAACAAACAACAACATGACTCAACACCAAACCTCTGGCATTTAGCTAGGATAATGCTCTAGTAGCGGTATGCTTTACCGGTATGCTTTATTCAAATAAAAGACAGAACTAAGTTGACCAAATAATGTTTTGATTTGTCTGCACAAAATCTACATCCTGTAAGTAATTAATGGTATTCTAGGGTGTTAATATTGTTGTAGAATATTATTTGGTAAATATTGATCAACAGCAGCCCAGGAGGTCATGGCTGAGGTCCAAGAGTGACATTCACAACCCCCTACTGAGCCCAGACTCACCTGTTCACACTCGGTCAGCGTCATGGCTTCCCTCAGCAGCTCTGCAACACACACACACAAATCACTTACTAGGCCGGCATTAAACATCTATCTGGAGCATTAAACATCTCTATCTGGAGCATTAAACATCTCTATCTGGAGCATTATATAGTATGAATGTTTTATAACAGCATACAGTCCATTTCTGTCCAGAATGACATTGAAGTCACCCAGCTAGCTTCTACTTTTAGCTTCTTGTTTATTTGTGTTGCAAACAGAGCACACAACCCTTCTCATTATGTTCTCAGTATCTGTTCCATTATCTCTATGTAGCTTTTAGTCAGTCAGTCAGTCAATCGTTCAAAAGTTTGGGGTCACTTAGAAATGTCCTTGTTTTCGAAAGAAACATTTTGTCCATTAAAATAACATCAAATTGATCAGAAATACAGTGTAGACATTGTTAATGTTGTAAATGGCTATTGTAGCTGGAAACGGCTGATTTTTAATGGAATATCTACATAGGCGTACAGAGGCCCATTATCAGCAACCATCAGTCCTGTGTTCCAATGGCACGTTGTGTTTGCTAATCCAAGTTTATCATTTTAAAAAGGCTAATTGATCATTAGAAAACCCGTTTGCAATTATGTTAGCACAGCTGAAAACGATTGTGCTGATTAAAGAAGCAATAAAACTGGCCTTTTTGAGACTAGTTGAGTATCTGGAGCATCAGCAATTGTGGGTTCAATTACAGGATCAAAATGGCCAGAAACAAATAGCTTTCTTCTGAAATTCATCAGGCTATTCTTGTTCTTAGAAATGAAGGCTATTCCATGCGAGAAATTGCCAAGAAACTGAAGATCTCGTACAGACACTGGACAGAGGAAGATTGGAAAAAAGTGTTATCGACAGACGAATCGAAGTTTGAGGTGTTTGAATCACAAAGAAGAACATTTGTGAGATGCAAACCAAATGAAAAGATGCTGGAGGAGTGCGTGATGCCATCTGTCAAGCATGGTGGAGGCAATGTGATGATCTGGGGGTGCTTTGGTGGTGGTAAAGTGGAAGATTTGTATAGGGTAAAAGGGATCTTGAAGAAGGAAGGCTATCACTCCATTTTGCAACGCCATGCCATACCCTGTGGACGGCGCTTGATTGGAGCCAATTTCCTCCTACAACAGGACAATGACCCAAAGCACAGCTCCAAACTATGCAAGAACTATTTGGAGAAGAAGCAGTCAGCTGGTATTCTATCTATAATGGAGTGGCCAGCACAGTCACCGGATCTCAACCCAATTGAGCTGTTGTGGGAGCAGCTTGACCGTATGGTACGTAAGAAGTGCCCATCAATCCAACTTGTGTGAGGTGCTTCAGGAAGCATGGGGTGAAATCTCTTCAGATTACCTCAACAAATTGACAACTAGAATGCCAAAGGTCTGCAAGGCTGTAATTGCTGCAAATGGAGGATTCTTTGATGAAAGCAAAGTTTGAAGGACAATTATTATTTCAATTAAAAATCATTATTTCTAACCTTGTCAATGACATTTCCTATGCATTTTGCTATATTTACTATTCAAACTCATTTCATGTATGTTTTCATGGAAAACAAGGACATTTATAAGTGACCCCAAACTTTTGAACGGTAGTGTGTGTGGATACAGTTGAAGTCGGAAGTTTACATGCACTTAGATTGGAGTCATTAAAACTCGATTTTCAACCACTCCACAAATTCCTTGTTAACAAACTATAGTTTTGGCAAGTCGGTTAGGACATCTACTTCGTGCATGACAAGTAATTTTTCCAACAATTGTTTACAGACAGATTATTTCACTTTATCACAATTCCAGTGGGTCAGAAGTTTACATATAATAGGTTGACTGTTCCTTTAAACAGCTTGGAAAATTCCAGGAAATTATGTCATGGCTTTAGAAGCTTCTGATAGGCTAATTGACATCATTGGAGTCAATTGGAGGTGTACCTGTGGATGTATTTCAAGGCCTACCTTCAAACTTGTAGACCTCCACAAGTCTGGTTCATCCTTGGGAGCAATTTCCAAACACCTGAAGGTACCACGTTCATCTGTACAAACAATAGTACGCAAGTATAAACACCATGGGACCACGCAGCCGTCATACCGCTCAGGAAGGAGACGCGTTCTGTCTCCTAGAGATGAACGTACTTTGGTGCGAAAAGTGCAAATCAATCCCAGAACAACAGCAAAGGACTTTGTGCAGATGCTGGAGGAAACAGGTACAAAAGTATCTATATCCACAGTAAAACAAGTCCTATATCGACATAACCTGAAAGGCCGCTCAGCAAGGAAGAAGCCACTGCTCCAAAACCGCCATAAAAAAAGCCAGACTACGGTTTGCAACTGCACATGGGGACAAAGATCGTACTTTTTGGAGAAATGTCCTCTGGTCTGATGAAAAAGGAGGTATATTGCAAGCCGAAGAACACCATCCCAACCGTGAAGCACGGGGGTGGCAGCATCATGCTGTGGGGGTGCTTTGCTGCAGGAGGAACTGGTGCACTTCACAAAATAGATGACATCATGAGGAAGGAAAATTATGTGGATATATTGAAGCAACATCAAGACATCAGTCAGGAAGTTAAAGCTTGGTCGCAAATGGGTCTTCCAAATGGACAATGACACCAAGCATACTTCCAAAGTTGTGGCAAAATGGCTTAAGGACAACAAAGTCAAGGTATTGGAGTGGCCATCACAAAGCCCTGACCTCAATCCTATAGAAACTTTGTGGGCAGAATTGAAAAAGCGTGTGTGAGCAAGGAGGCCTACAAACCTGACTCAGTTACACCAGCTCTGTCAGGAGGAATGGGCCAAAATTCACCCAACTTATTGTGGGAAGCTTGTGGAAGGCTACCCGAAACGTTTGACCCAATTTAAAGGCAATGCTACCAAATACTAATTGAGTGTATGTAAACTTCTGACCCACTGGAAATGTGATGAAAGAAATAAAAGCTTAAATAAATAATTCTCTCTACTATTATTCTGATATTTCACATTCTTAAAATAAAGTGGTGATCCTAACTGACCTAAAACAGCAAATTTTTCCTAGGATTAAATGTCAGGAATTGTGAAAAACTGAGTTTAAATGTATTTGGCTAAGGTGTATGTAAACTTCCGACTTCAACTGTATATAGTCTGTCAGACGCTGGCCCTGTATATAGTCTGGCCCTGTATATAGTCTGGCCCTGTATATAGTCTGGCCCTGTATATAGTCTGGCCCTGTATATAGTCTGTCAGACGCCGGCCCTGTATATAGTCTGTCAGACGCCGGCCCTGTATATAGTCTGTCAGACGCCGGCCCTGTATATAGTCTGTCAGACGCCGGCCCTGTATATAGTCCGGCCCTGTATATAGTCTGTCAGACGCCGGCCCTATATATAGTCTGGCCCTGTATATAGTCTGTCAGACGCCGGCCCTGTATATAGTCTGTCAGACGCCGGCCCTATATATAGTCTGTCAGACGCCGGCCCTGTATATAGTCTGTCAGACGCCGGCCCTGTATATAGTCTGGCCCTGTATATAGTCTGTCAGACGCCGGCCCTGTATATAGTCTGTCAGACGCCGGCCCTGTATATAGTCTGTCAGATGCCGGCCCTGTATATAGTCTGTCAGATGCCGGCCCTGTATATAGTCTGGCCCTGTATATAGTCTGGCCCTGTATATAGTCTGGCCCTGTATATAGTCTGGCCCTGTATATAGTCTGGCCCTGTATATAGTCTGTCAGACGCCGGCCCTGTATATAGTCTGTCAGACGCCGGCCCTGTATATAGTCTGTCAGACGCCGGCCCTGTATATAGTCTGTCAGACGCCGGCCCTGTATATAGTCTGTCAGATGCCGGCCCTGTATATAGTCTGTCAGATGCCGGCCCTGTATATAGTCTGTCAGATGCCGGCCCTGTATATAGTCTGTCAGATGCCGGCCCTGTATATAGTCTGTCAGATGCCGGCCCTGTATATAGTCTGTCAGACGCCGGCCCTATATATAGTCTGGCCCTGTATATAGTCTGGCCCTGTATATAGTCTGTCAGATGCCGGCCCTGTATATAGTCTGTCAGACGCCGGCCCTGTATATAGTCTGTCAGATGCCGGCCCTATATATAGTCTGTCAGACGCCGGCCCTGTATATAGTCTGTCAGATGCCGGCCCTGTATATAGTCTGTCAGATGCCGGCCCTGTATATAGTCTGTCAGTCTGTCAGATGCCGGCCCTGTATATAGTCTGTCAGACGCCGGCCCTATATATAGTCTGGCCCTATATATAGTCTGTCAGATGCCGGCCCTGTATATAGTCTGGCCCTGTATATAGTCTGTCAGTCTGTCAGATGCCGGCCCTGTATATAGTCTGTCAGACGCCGGCCCTATATATAGTCTGGCCCTATATATAGTCTGTCAGATGCCGGCCCTATATATATAGTCTGTCAGACGCCGGCCCTGTATATAGTCTGTCAGACGCCGGCCCTGTATATAGTCTGTCAGACGCCGGCCCTGTATATAGTCTGTCAGACGCCGGCCCTGTATATAGTCTGTCAGACGCCGGCCCTGTATATAGTCTGTCAGACGCCGGCCCTGTATATAGTCTGTCAGACGCCGGCCCTGTATATAGTCTGGCCCTGTATATAGTCTGGCCCTGTATATAGTCTGGCCCTGTATATAGTCTGTCAGACGCCGGCCCTGTATATAGTCTGTCAGACGCCGGCCCTATATATAGTCTGGCCCTGTATATAGTCTGTCAGACGCCGGCCCTGTATATAGTCTGTCAGACGCCGGCCCTATATATAGTCTGGCCCTGTATATAGTCTGGCCCTGTATATAGTCTGGCCCTGTATATAGTCTGTCAGACGCCGGCCCTGTATATAGTCTGTCAGACGCCGGCCCTGTATATAGTCTGTCAGACGCCGGCCCTGTATATAGTCTGTCAGACGCCGGCCCTGTATATAGTCTGTCAGACGCCGGCCCTGTATATAGTCTGGCCCTGTATATAGTCTGGCCCTGTATATAGTCTGGCCCTGTATATAGTCTGTCAGACGCCGGCCCTGTATATAGTCTGTCAGACGCCGGCCCTATATATAGTCTGTCAGACGCCGGCCCTGTATATAGTCTGTCAGATGCCGGCCCTGTATATAGTCTGGCCCTGTATATAGTCTGTCAGATGCCGGCCCTGTATATAGTCTGTCAGACGCCGGCCCTATATATAGTCTGGCCCTATATATAGTCTGTCAGATGCCGGCCCTATATATAGTCTGTCAGACGCCGGCCCTGTATATAGTCTGTCAGACGCCGGCCCTGTATATAGTCTGTCAGACGCCGGCCCTATATATAGTCTGTCAGACGCCGGCCCTGTATATAGTCTGTCAGATGCCGGCCCTGTATATAGTCTGTCAGACGCCGGCCCTATATATAGTCTGGCCCTATATATAGTCTGTCAGATGCCGGCCCTATATATATAGTCTGTCAGACGCCGGCCCTGTATATAGTCTGTCAGACGCCGGCCCTGTATATAGTCTGTCAGACGCCGGCCCTGTATATAGTCTGTCAGACGCCGGCCCTGTATATAGTCTGTCAGATGCCGGCCCTGTATATAGTCTGTCAGACGCCGGCCCTGTATATAGTCTGGCCCTGTATATAGTCTGGCCCTGTATATAGTCTGTCAGACGCCGGCCCTGTATATAGTCTGTCAGACGCCGGCCCTATATATAGTCTGTCAGACGCCGGCCCTGTATATAGTCTGTCAGATGCCGGCCCTGTATATAGTCTGGCCCTGTATATAGTCTGTCAGATGCCGGCCCTGTATATAGTCTGTCAGACGCCGGCCCTATATATAGTCTGTCAGATGCCGGCCCTATATATAGTCTGTCAGACGCCGGCCCTGTATATAGTCTGTCAGATGCCGGCCCTGTATATAGTCTGGCCCTGTATATAGTCTGTCAGATGCCGGCCCTGTATATAGTCTGTCAGACGCCTGCCCTGTATATAGTCTGGCCCTGTATATAGTCTGTCAGACGCCGGCCCTGTATATAGTCTGTCAGACGCCGGCCCTGTATGTAGTCTGTCAGATGCCGGCCCTGTATATAGTCTGTCAGACGCCGGCCCTGTATATAGTCTGTCAGACGCCAGCCCTGTATATAGTCTGTCAGACGCCGGCCCTGTATATAGTCTGGCCCTGTATATAGTCTGTCAGACGCCGGCCCTGTATATAGTCTGGCCCTGTGTATAGTCTGTCAGACACCGGCCCTATATATAGTCTGTCAGACGCCGGCCCTGTATATAGTCTGGCCCTGTATATAGTCTGTCAGACGCCGGCCCTGTATATAGTCTGTCAGACGCCTGCCCTGTATATAGTCTGGCCCTGTATATAGTCTGTCAGACGCCGGCCCTGTATATAGTCTGTCAGACGCCGGCCCTGTATATAGTCTGTCAGATGCCGGCCCTGTATATAGTCTGTCAGACGCCGGCCCTGTATATAGTCTGGCCCTGTATATAGTCTGTCAGACGCCGGCCCTGTATATAGTCTGTCAGACGCCGGCCCTATATATAGTCTGGCCCTGTATATAGTCTGTCAGACGCCGGCCCTGTATATAGTCTGTCAGACGCCGGCCCTATATATAGTCTGTCAGACGCCGGCCCTGTATATAGTCTGTCAGACGCCGGCCCTGTATATAGTCTGTCAGACGCCGGCCCTGTATATAGTCTGTCAGACGCCGGCCCTGTATATAGTCTGGCCCTGTATATAGTCTGTCAGACGCCGGCCCTGTATATAGTCTGTCAGACGCCGGCCCTGTATATAGTCTGGCCCTGTATATAGTCTGTCAGACGCCGGCCCTGTATATAGTCTGTCAGACGCCGGCCCTGTATATAGTCTGTCAGACGCCGGCCCTGTATATAGTCTGTCAGACGCCGGCCCTGTATATAGTCTGTCAGACGCCGGCCCTGTATATAGTCTGGCCCTGTATATAGTCTGGCCCTGTATATAGTCTGGCCCTGTATATAGTCTGGCCCTGTATATAGTCTGTCAGACGCCGGCCCTGTATATAGTCTGTCAGACGCCGGCCCTGTATATAGTCTGGCCCTGTATATAGTCTGGCCCTGTATATAGTCTGGCCCTGTATATAGTCTGTCAGACGCCGGCCCTGTATATAGTCTGTCAGACGCCGGCCCTGTATATAGTCTGTCAGACGCCGGCCCTGTATATAGTCTGTCAGACATTGGGGTTGTTAGCTGGTATAACTTTTGTAACACAATGGACATGTTTATTTTTGCCCTGATGTCCCTGGAGATGGAACTGGCACACATGGTGAGAACCCTGAATACTCCACAACACTACAGAATGCTCCTAAACCCACCAGGATGCTCCTAAACCCACCAGGACGCTCCTAAACCCACCAGGACGCTCCTAAACCCTCCAGGACGCTCCTAAACCCTCCAGGACGCTCCTAAACCCTCCAGAACGCTACTAAACCCACCAGGACGCTCCTAAACCCCTCCAGGACGCTCCTAAACCCCACCAGGACGCTCCTAAACCCCTCCAGGACGCTCCTAAGCCCCTCCAGGATGCTCCTAAACCCCTCCAGGACGCTCCTAAACCCCTCCAGGACGCTCCTAAACCCCACCAGGACGCTCCTAAACCCACCAGGACGCTCCTAAACCCCACCAGGACGCTCCTAAACCCCACCAGGACGCTCCTAAACCCACCAGGACGCTCCTAAACCCACCAGGACGCTCCTAAACCCACCAGGACGCTCCTAAACCCTCCAGGACGCTCCTAAACCCACCAGGACGCTCCTAAACCCACCAGGACGCTACTAAACCCTCCAGAACGCTACTAAACGCTCCTAAACTATACAGAACGCTCCAGAACGCTCCCCAACGCTCCAGAACGCTCCCCACTCCAGAACGCTCCAGAACACTACTACAGAACGCTCCAGAAAACTACTACAGAACACTTCAGAACGCTACTAAACACTACAGAACGCTACTAAACACTACAGAACGCTCCACACTACTACAGAACGCTCCACACTACTACAGAACGCTCCACACTACTACAGAACGCTCCACACTACTACAGAACGCTCCACACTACTACAGAACGCTACTAAACACTACAGAACGCTCCACACTACTACAGAACGCTCCACACTACTACAGAACGCTCCACACTACTACAGAACGCTACTAAACACTACAGAACGCTCCACACTACTACAGAACGCTCCACACTACTACAGAACGCTCCACACTACTACAGAACGCTACTAAACACTACAGAACGCTACTAAACACTACAGAACGCTCCACACTACTACAGAACGCTCCACACTACTACAGAACGCTCCACACTACTACAGAACGCTCCACACTACTACAGAACGCTCCACACTACTACAGAACGCTCCACACTACTACAGAACGCTACTAAACACTACAGAACGCTCCACACTACTACAGAACGCTACACACTACTACAGAACGCTACAGAATACTACTAAACACTCCACACTACAGAAAACACTCCAGAACACTCCACACCACTAAATACTCCAGACTACTAAACACTCCCACTACAGAACGCTACTAAACACTCCAGAACACTACAGAACACTCCAGAACACTCCTAAACACTACAGAACACTAATAAACACTCCACACTACAGAACTCTACTCCACACTACAGAACTCTACTCCACACTACAGAACACTACTCCACACTACAGAACACTACTAAATACTCCACACTACAGAACACTACTCCACACTACAGAACACTACTAAATACTCCACACTACAGAACACTACTCCACACTACAGAATGCTCCAGATCGCTACAGAATGCTCCAGATCGCTACAGAATGCTCCAGATCGCTACAGAATGCTCCAGATCGCTACAGAATGCTCCAGATCGCTACAGAATGCTCCAGATCGCTACAGAACGCTACAGATCGCTACAGAATGCTCCAGAACGCTACAGATCGCTACAGTATACAGAGCAGGAAATAGTTGTGTTATTATTCTCCTGGTGACGATGGCGCAAATGGGTTTAATCCCGGATCATAATCTGTTACCGGTCTGACATCTTGAGGAAGTGGGTTGTATGTCAGTTGTTTCAGTCTGACAGTCATTAATAGTCTCAAAATGTAACTCAGAATGTCCAATTACATCATGGAAAGACAATCCAAATTCAGAATGTGTCAATCTCTAATATGTATTATTATTCACAGAATGGTGAAATAAAACAAGTTCAGTAGACTGAAGACACACCTGTAGCTTTCCCATGGCAGGAAATAGCTTCTTCATATTTACCAGCTGCCAACAAACGGTCTGCCTTCCTGGACTGCTGATGGGCCTGAGAGGAGATGGGGAGTGGAGGGGAGAGAGATCTCATAACAACATATTTGCCTTATCTTACCTACAAATGCACAAATCCTGCCCTGCCAGATCAGACTGTAAAGTACTTCTACACCAGAGAAGTGCTGGCAAGAGAGGCTCTCTAAACCTTATCAGAAGGGGTCTCCTGTCTTAGAAGTCCCATCAGTCCTAATTTAATGTCTGCACAATTGGAAAATAGGTATACATATAATGTGCAAGAAAATGTTTACTTCGTGTCAGAATGGAACAAAATACCTTGATGTTGGTAAAGTGCTGTCATTTAAAGGATTGATTATTATATTCTTAGCTATGAGTCTAACGATGGCTAACTAGCTAATAAAAGTTAAAGGACGGATGAAAGGAGAAGTATCTTTGGCTTAAGCTTTTCTCGTCTGGTTCCTCTTTCGCAATATGTTTACTTCTTTAGTTAGCTAGCTAGCTGCCTACTGTTTGTTATATATAGATATAACGTTAGCTAGCTAGCTAGATACATGTTTTGACCTACTCGAGAATAAAGCCTTTAGCTAGGTGAGCTCTCATGTCAGCTGGAAGCTTATTTGGCTCCTTGTCTTTAATTAACATTACCGTTCCCTAGCTAGTTGACTGGCTACAATCTTAGCTAGCTAAATTGACTAACGTTAGCCAGTTAGCTACGTTAATATACAGCCAAAACCACAACATATCTGGCTAGCTAACAAACCTTGGCACTTTGTGTTGGACTATCTAGAAGGCCACAGAGATAAGTGTGATATAAACCCAGAGGCCAATCACCCCCTAGCTTTGTTTGGAAATAAAACCAAGGGCTAACGTTGGCTCGCTTTCTCGGGGTGTTAGTTAGCCAGCCTGTCGGCCTCCTAGATATTGCAACGTAAACAGAAACTTACGAGGTTTAGAGGACTGTCCACTACCTCCATATTCTTCAAGAGTAAAAACTACATGAAACGTCTTGTAGTCCCTCGCAGTCGGTCATCGGCGCTACTGTTTTATTCCGGGACCAAAGATTCTGGTTAAACCGGGCTGCTAAAATTATAAAACGGTTAAAACATTCAGGACAACTAGCTAGCTAGCCAGTTAAACAAGGTCATGCCTAGATGGGATACAGCTTTTGTCAAATTGATGTCAAAAGTATATATTATTATTTTTTTGTTGCATTGTAGCTAACCCTAACTCTTTTCCTAGCCTTAACCTAATTATCCTAACCTGCTTCGTTAATTATCCTAATCTGCGTCATAAATCCTTCTAAACCTGCTACGAAAAGTCAATTTTGACAAAAGCTGTATCCTTTCTAAACACCACCGCTCAAAAACGACAAATAACGTGGTGACGTTACAATATTCTCGGCGTAATTTCCTAACTTCCGTTTTTTGACAGCGACAACACAGATTAGAACAATGAGACAGATATTTCACCGGATGTATAAATATGAAGCATCCGGTTGGCGTTTCCACTTACTACGAAATATGGCGATGAGAGGAAGCCCGGTGGCCGGCAGTGGGAGAAGATGGAGTGAGATGGATTTTGGCCGACATTCTGCAAATGTTCTCATCAATGAAACATTTGATTCTCCATACAGTATTTTTTTTCTCCAAAAGTATAAATCTGTAACAAACAGAGTGGATTGCGTTTTGTAGACTTTACCCAAAGTTTTCATAAAGTTGCGTTGTTTAGAAGGAGTGCATGGGCGAATTCAGTTACTGCACATGCGCACTCACAGAGTAGGCGTTGCCTAACTCGCATATGCAAATGAATGATAGAACGCGTCAGCAGGATCTCACTAGGTCGTGCTTGGCTCCGCCCACTATGATTAATTTGCTCTCATTGGAAACGAAAGTCTCTGGTCTATCTTGGGTTAGTTATATTGCTTTATCTTGGCCAGGTCGCAGTTGTAAATGAGAACTTGTTCTCAACTGGCTTACCTGGTTAAATAAAGGTTTAAAAAAATAATTACAAAAATATATATATTTATTCAGCTACAATCCAACATCTCACCACTAGAGGGAGCTGCGGTTTATCAACCAGTTGCCTGGCGTACTAAAGTAAATATTGTCTATTATATTGACAAGATATTTGAGTGACCGCTCTAACAATGGAAATACATGTCCTCAGAGACGGAAGACAGGCGGTAGGAAGCGAGATCAGGTGGGACCATTCTAGCCAATAAGAGGGCAGATATACGCGTGAACAACAGGCCATAGAGATATATGGAGGGCTCATCTTTGTATCTGTGCCATTATTGAGTACCACAGTATGAGTCATAATACCCATAAAACCTAGTGGTAAAACCCGAAAATGGTTCCAATTGTTTTTTCATCATTAATTTTTGCATTGGGGATTTTAGAATACTTCATATAAGGTCTGTGTTTCGTGTAGGCTTACCCTGACGTGACGTTTTGATAACTGCCCAAATCTCTCTCTGACAAGGTTGCTTTTATCAATATATTTGCCTGTAATTACCCCCTCAAAATGAAATGCTAATTAAGAAATATACTTAAGTATCAAAGTACATGTAATTGCTAAAATATACTTAAGTGTCAAAAGTAGAAGTAAAAGTATCAATCATTTCAAATTCCTTATATTAAGCAAAGCAGATGGCACCATTTTCTTGTTTAAAAAATGTATGGATAGCCAGGGGCACACTCCAACACTCACACATTATTTACAAAAGATACATTTGTGTTTAGTGAGTCTGCCAGACCAGAGGCAGTAGGGCTGACCACGTGTTCTCTTGATAAGGGCGGGCACTTCACCATTTTCCTGTCCTGCTAAGCATTCAAAATGTAACAAGTACTTTGGGTTGTCAGGGAAAATGTATGGAGTAAAAAGTACAATATTATCTTTAGGAATGTAGTGAAGTAAAAGTAAAAGATGTCAACCGAGTGGCGCAGCGGTCTAAGGCAGCGGTCCAAGGCAGCGGTCCAAGGCAGCGGTCTAAGGCAGCGGTCCAAGGCAGCGGTCCAAGGCAGCGGTCCAAGGCAGCGGTCCGAGGCAGCGGTCTGAGGCAGCGGTCCAAGGCAGCGGTCCAAGGCAGCGGTCTGAGGCAGCGGTCTGAGGCAGCGGTCTGAGGCAGCGGTCCAAGGCAGCGGTCCAAGGCAGCGGTCCAAGGCAGCGGTCTAAGGCAGCGGTCTAAGGCAGCGGTCCAAGGCAGCGGTCCAAGGCAGTGGTCTAAGGCAGCGGTCCAAGGCAGCGGTCCAAGGCAGCGGTCTAAGGCAGCGGTCCAAGGCAGCGGTCCAAGGCAGCGGTCCAAGGCAGCGGTCCAAGGCAGCGGTCCAAGGCAGCGGTCCGAGGCAGCGGTCTGAGGCAGCGGTCTGAGGCAGCGGTCTGAGGCAGCGGTCTAAGGCAGCGGTCCAAGGCAGCGGTCCAAGGCAGCGGTCTAAGGCAGCGGTCTAAGGCAGCGGTCCAAGGCAGCGGTCCAAGGCAGTGGTCTAAGGCAGCGGTCCAAGGCAGCGGTCCAAGGCAGCGGTCCAAGGCAGCGGTCTAAGGCAGCGGTCCAAGGCAGCGGTCCAAGGCAGCGGTCCAAGGCAGCGGTCCAAGGCAGCGGTCCGAGGCAGCGGTCCGAGGCAGCGGTCTGAGGCAGCGGTCTAAGGCAGCGGTCCAAGGCAGCGGTCCAAGGCAGCGGTCCAAGGCAGCGGTCCAAGGCAGCGGTCTGAGGCAGTGGTCTAAGGCAGCGGTCCAAGGCAGCGGTCCAAGGCAGCGGTCCAAGGCAGCGGTCTAAGGCACTGTATTTCAGTGCTTGAGGCGTCACTACAGACCCCCTGGTTCGATTCCAGGCTGTATCACAACCGGCCGTGATTGGGAGTCCCATAGGGCGGAGCACAATTGGCCCAGCATCGTCCGGGTTTGGCCGGTGTAGGCCGTCATTGTAAATAAGAATTTGTTCTTAACTGACTTGCCTAGTTAAATAAAGATAAAATAAAAATAGAAATAGTAAAGTACAGATACCGCAAAAAAACTACTTAAGGGTGGTGGCACAGGAATCCTCATCTCTCCCAAGTGGACATTCTAAATTTTTCCCCTAACCCATCTGTCTATCTCCTCATTTGAATTCCATGCTGTCACAGTCACTAGCCCATTTAAGCTTAATATCCTTGTCATCTATCGCCCTCCAGGTTCCCTTGGAGAGTTCATCAATGAGCTTGACGCCTTGATAAGTTCCTTTCCTGAGGATGGCTCACCCCTCACAGTTTTGGGGGATTTCAACCTCCCTACGTCTACATTTGACTCATTTCTCTCTGCCTCCTTCTTTCCACTCCTCTCCTCTTTTGACCTCACCCTCTCACCGTCCCCCCCTACTCACAAGGCAGGCAATACGCTTGACCTCATCTTTACTAGATGCTGCTCTTCTACTAATCTCACTGCAACTCCCCTCCATGTCTCCGACCACTACTTTGTATCCTTTTCTCTCTCGCTCTCCTCCAACACTACTCACTCTGCCCCTACACAATCAATCAATCAATCAATTTTATTTTATATAGCCCTTCTTACATCAGCTAATATCTCGAAGTGCTGTACAGAAACCCAGCCTAAAACCCCAAACAGCTAGTAATGCAGGTGTAGAAGCACGGTGGCTAGGAAAAACTCCCTAGAAAGGCCAAAACCTAGGAAGAAACCTAGAGAGGAACCAGGCTATGAGGGGTGGCCAGTCCTCTTCTGGCTGTGCCGGGTGGAGATTATAACAGAACCATGCCAAGATGTTCAAAAATTTTCATAAGTGACAAGCATGGTCAAATAATAATCAGGAATAAATCTCAGTTGGCTTTTCATAGCCGATCATTAAGAGTTGAAAACAGCAGGTCTGGGACAGGTAGGGGTTCCATAACCGCAGGCAGAACAGTTGAAACTGGAATAGCAGCAAGGCCAGGCGGACTGGGGACAGCAAGGAGTCACCACGGCCGGTAGTCCCGACGTATGGTCCTAGGGCTCAGGTCTCTCAGTTGGCTTTTCATAGCCGATCATTAAGAGTTGAAAACAGCAGGTCTGGGACAGGTAGGGGTTTCGTAACCGCAGGCAGAACAGTTGACTGGAATAGCAGCAAGGCCAGGCGGACTGGGGACAGCAAGGTGTCATCATGCCCGGTAGTCCTGACGTATGGTCCTAGGGCTCAGGTTCTCAGAGAGAAAGAGAGAACGATAGAATTAGAGAGAGCATACTTAAATTCACACAGGACACTGGATAAGACAGGAGAAGTACTCCAGGTATAACCAACTAACCCCAGCCCCCCGACACATAAACTACTGCAGCATAAATACTGGAGGCTGAGACAGGAGCGGTCCGGAGACACTGTGGCCCCATCCGAAGAAACCCCCGGACAGGGCCAAACAGGAAGGATATAACCCCACCCACTCTGCCAAAGCACAGCCCCCGCACCACTAGAGGGATATCCTCAACCACCAACTTACAATCCTGAGACAAGGCCGAGTATAGCCCACAGAGGTCTCCACCACAGCACAAACCAAGGGGGGGCGCCAACCCAGACAGGAAGATCACGTCAGTAACTCAACCCACTCAAGTGACGCACCCCTCCTAGGGACGGCATGAAAGAGCACCAGCAAGCCAGTGACTCAGCCCCTGTAACAGGGTTAGAGGCAGAGAACCCCAGTGGAGAGAGGGGAACCGGCCTGGCAGAGACAGCAAGGGCTGTTCGTTGCTCCAGAGCCTTTCCGTTCACCTTCACACTCCTGGGCCAGACTACACTCAATCATATGACCTACTGAAGAGATAAGTCTTCAGTAAAGACTTAAAGGTTGAGACCGAGTCTGCGTCTCTCACATGGGTAGGCAGACTGTTCCATAAAAATGGAGATCTATAGGAGAAAGCCCTGCCTCCCGCTGTTTGCTTAGAAATTCTAGGGACAATTAGGAGGCCTGCGTCTTGTGACCGTAGCGTACGTATTGGTATGTACGGCAGGACCAACTCGGAAAGATAGGTAGGAGCAAGCCCATGTAACGCTTTATAGGTTAACAGTAAAACCTTGAAATCAGCCCTTGCCTTAACAGGAAGCCAGTGTAGGGAAGCTAGCACTGGAGTAATATGATCAAATTTCTTGGTTCTAGTCAGGATTCTAGCAGCCGTATTTAGCACTAACTGAAGTTTATTTAGTGCTTTATCCGGGTAGCCGGAAAGTAGAGCATTG